TCACAACAACCCCATGCAGCGCTACAGGCTTGTGGAAGAGTCGCTGGAAAGCTGCCTGGCAGAAAAGGACCTGGGGGTGTTGGTTGACAGCCGGCTGAATATGAGCCAGCAGTGTTCCCAGGCGGCCAAGAAGGCCAACGACATCCTGGCCTGTATCAGGAATAGTGTGGTAAGCAGGACTAGGGCAGTGATTGTCCCGCTGTACTTGACACTGGTGAGGCCACACCTCCAGTACGGTGTTCATTTTTGGGCCTCTCACTACAAGGAAGACATGGCGGTGCTGGAGCATGTCCAGAGGAGGGCAACAAAGCTGATGAGGGGTGTAGAGCACAAGTCCTATGAGGAGCGGCTGAGGGAACTGGGGTTGTTTAATCTGGAGAAAAGGAGGCTGAGGGGAGACCTTATCGCTCTCTACAACTACCTGAGAGGAGGTTGTGGAGAGGAGGGGGTCAACCTCTTCTCACACGTTATGGGTCATAGGACAAGAGGAAACAGTGTCAAGCTGTGCCAGGAGGGGTTTCGACTGGATATTAGGAAAAATTTCTTTACTGAAAGTGTTGTGAAGCATTGGAACAGGCTGCCCAGGGAAGTGGTTGAGTCACCATCCCTTGGAGCCATTTAACAGACATGTAGATGCAGTCCTGAGGGACATGGTTTAGCGGTTTTTGGCAGTATTAGGTTGATGGTTGGACTCCATGATCTTAAAGGCTTTTTCTAACCTAGAGTCCTACGATAGCTCAGCATGGCAAGTCAGGCACCAGGGAGGTGCCGTGCAGGGTATCAGAGCGCTCAGCAAAGTGCACTCCCATGTGCTGTTCCCCCAGCTGTAACCCCAGGCAGCTCGGGGACACAGCACCACCACAGGCCAGGGCGACAGCTCTCCTCTGCCGTGGGATCCTGGAGAGCAGAGACACCCCCCACTCTGGGCTGCAAATGTCTGAATTTCGGGGCAGGTGGCAGGGAGCGCGCAGTAGAAGCTGATGTCTGGGTCTCACCAGCACCATGCAGAGCCAACCTCTCCGCTGGCAAGGCAGGGGCTCACACCAGAACAGCCTGGAAAGGCCTTGCCCCAGGACGAGACCTGCAAAACCCACGCAGTGCTTCTTGGGGGGGAGGGCGGGCAGCGGAGCCCGTACCTCCCTAACACCCCAGAAGGGCTGCTCTGTGGAGGGACCCCAAATCAGCCATTTTTGATCTCTTCATAACCGGATCTCCTCTGGTGCATGAGGCCGCTCCACACCCAGGCAGCAATAGGGGGGGGTTGTCCCTGGCGCATGCGGTAATGGAGACGGGACCTGGGCTGCTTTCGGGATCACGCCCTCAGGCGAGGAGGACGCGGCCCGGGACACCTCTCACAGCCCCTCAGTCGACGGCGGAGCAGCCAGGACCAACGACAGCCCCGCCGCGGCCTC